ACATTTTAAAACGAGAGAGAGACAGAGAGACGTAAGTGAGGACAATATGCAAAAACCTTAAGTCAGTAGAAGAAAACCAGAAACTCTAAAGCATGAAGGAAAAGAATTGTAGTTCACCCTCCACATGAAAATCAGACAGAAAAGCGTTGAAAGAAACCGTTTCTCATCTTAGCAGATATCATTTCTATGTACTTTCTTCTTTTGTGGTTTTACTTTGCTGCCTGTGTTGTTGCTATACTCATACATCTGCATCTCATTTTATCTCTTCACTCTCTCAACACACTTATATTAGTCCATTATACACAGTATACTGTTACTACTTTCCGTGCTACTTTCACTAACATTCACTGATGTCTATGAAACGTATATGTTTGTGTCTCTCTCATTCTTACTATTTCATCTAACACACCGATTTCGTCACTGTGTAATGAAAATGTTATCATCTTCCACATCGTGCGATAATATCAATATTAATGATTTTCTTCTATCCGCTTACTCGCATCGTACAACATTTATTTCAAATTTAGATAAAGATGAACAGTTTACCTTACATTTCTTACAACATCGTAACAACATTATCATTCGTCTTGCAGATAAAAACGTTGATTAGAGTTTCTAGTTTTCTGCTACTGACTCAACGTTTTTGAATTTCTTTCTTTGCTCTATCTGTTGTCATAATGCGTTGAAGAAAACTAAAAGATGTTTTATGATTATTTCAAAAGGAAAATTGGCCTAAATTACGCTACATGGCTCTTAACTGTGCTATTATAGTTTTCGTCAAGATCAATCAGGTCGCACTCTTCACTTCTCTCTAATCATCATAAAAAATATATATGACACAGAAAAAGAAAAAGAAACGATGTTTATTCTACCTGAAAGTATTTTAGCATATTGTCCTCACTTACGTCTCTCTGTCTCTCTCTCGTTTTAAAATGTTGTGGAAAAAATATATATATTTTTATCTCTCAAAATTAAACTTCTTTTTGGGATTGATCCATGTTGAAGTTGTTTTCTTTTTATAGGTAAGATTGACATGTTTTATCATTAGCTAAAATATAGAATGATCCGCAAGATGATGTTTTTGGCTCAATTGTTGTTAAAGTATGAAAATTGATAGTTTTTTTGTGAATAATTGATTAAGGAAGTTAACAGATTGAAATGTTTGACGTGTAGGATTGTAATCTAACAATTGAAAAAATTCCCTATCAAATAACTGTTGTAAAATTTCGAATTCGTATACTTAAAACGGGTAAAGTTGGAACAGAATTATTAAAATTTAAAACAGATTTTAGAAATGAAACGATACAGGGTTTGTATGAAGATTTAAGAAATAAATATGGTGTAGTGTATGTATAGTTTAGATTAGTTTTCTGTGCTGAATACTATGCTTTTTTTTCTAATATTTGAGTTATCCAACAACAAAGCAATGTCAACAAGTTGCATTGGCGTTAATTACCACTTTACCAGCCTTAGCTGACACAGTTATCTCCTTTGATGATTCTGCTACGGTTCGTGAGAGTTTGTAGTGCGGTTTTTTCAGTTATTAAATGTCGTCTTCCGCTTCTATTTTTTTTAAATATTTTAGGATTCTTGGATAGAGTCTTTGAAGGATAAATTTCGACAACTACGTTCAAATCAAAAACATCATCACTCTTTACTTGTATCATCAAATATAATATTTAAAAAATGTCATAATCCATCGGGACGTTCGGTTAAGCCAGTTGCTGCCACCACGGCCACACGTTTTATTTCTGTAAGAAACATTTCTTTCTTTAATTTGAGCAAAGACGAAGACTTCTGCTCGTCAGTTTTAAATTTCAGAGATAACGGTTCATTTCTAATCGCTTTATACGTGGAAAATGATGTTCGTGTGAGATTAAAGTATCATCTTATCGATAATCGTTAGAGCCTTCTAGTTAATTTGTTCTATATTCTCAGACATGGTCTTCTCAGTATTATGTCTCTGTGGGAAAAGAATACATGCTTGTGGAAAGAGCAAATGTACTTTTTCAAAAATAACATTCTTTCTATTAACATTATCAACATTTTTTTCATTTTCTAACGTTATGTATCCTGTGAGTGTTCTTGCTCAAAGTATTTGATTTTTTGGCAAGAGACTCACTAGAGTACTACAACGGATTATGAAAAAGATCGACGATAATAATCCTGTACTAACCTACAAACACCTTCTATTTCTAGCAAGCTTTTAATTCGACTGTTCGTGATACAATAGACGATGATGTAACTATGTCACATCATGTAAAAGATATGGAAAGTCTTAGTGAAGATAACGAACAACCTGAAATGGAAACACTTTTAGCTAAAGCAAAATTAACAGTTGATGTTTGTACGAAATTTATTACTGCAGCACATTCTGTGTCCGATTATTTCGTGAAATTTCCAGCTATGAACATTTCACAACTTGTAAACAATAAAAATTTTGTTTAGTGGGATAATTCCTTCTCGAAGTCTAATAAGAGGGCAGCTAGAGTTAAAAATGGTCACTATCAACAAGATAAACACTGCAATTTTTATCCTCCTGCACGTGTAGCCTGAAACAGTCTTTGCACAGTAAGAATTTACTATTCAATCGGATTACTGTCGTGGAAAAAGACAAGCCCTACATGTAATTCTGACTCACCGCACGTATCCTTTTAGCATTTATAACCCGAGAACACGGCAGAACTGAACTACGAAGAAAATAAAAGAATTTTTGACTTTTTCAAAATCGAGAACAAATAAAACCTATGATAAAATGAAAAATTTGTCGAAAGAAATGAAGAAATAAAGCAAAAAAATAATTAACGTACAATTAGAAAAAAGAAAAAGAAAGCGTGATTAGTTTTAATGAATTATTAAAGCTTAAATAATGTTAAGCTTTAATAATGTTAAAAGCTATGAAAATATAACGTATGAGGTAATTTTATATAGTTTTTTCCATTTGAATGACACAGATCGAGCGAATGTTAAAACTTAATAGTATTCGATTTGATAACAGCGGTTTCATTGGCATCAAAAACCTCGAATGCATGAAATTCGAATGCTCTGAAAAAATATTAGTAATAAGTTTTTACATACAAAAGATATTCGTTTTTGTAAAATAAAATACGAAGTACGCGGTAGAAGACCGGAATTTGTTCTTTTCCATAAAAATTGATTATAAAATGACTATTTGTTTTCAAAAGCGTGGAATTCAATTTTCCCCATCGGCTCAAATATACTCTAGCTCCCTCCTCAAAATTCATACCTGTAATCAGCGATAGTTTTTGCTGCTAATCGAGTAAAAGAACGTACAAGAAATTTTCCTGATTTATTTTTTGGGTGCAAAGACAGCTCCGACAATAAAAAGTAACATGGCTGCAACTAATTACGCGATGAAATTGTAAAAGGAATATTTTGATAATTTTGTGCTTTTTGTACGAAACGTTTTAGGGGCAAATGTTTTGCTTCGAATCTCATACAACTTTGTTTTGCGAGAGGACCGTACGTAAATGTTAAGCAAGGAAAATGGCGAACAAAATGGCATTTTAGTGTTATCATATCTTCATATTCTCGTTGCATACCAGACAGAAAAGCTTGTCACGCATAGCCTGAATACGTAAGCCAAGATCGATGAAACGGAACTGCTAAAACTAAATCGCAAATTTTGCGTAAAAGTGAATAAATACTCCAAGTTGTTATTTTGTCTAATACGTCACAGAGAATAAAAAGTAAACATAAAAATAGACACTGTTTCTCAAGTGCCTTACCAGGAATTTTTCTTTCGCGAATATGTTGGTCTTGTAAAATAGCTGGTTTGTTTGATCTGTCACTGCTACTGTAATGAAAACTGTATATCAGAACTAGAAGGTCAGCGTTCGAAATCAAACGATCTGCTATTACTGTTCGAAAAATAGCTGATGTAACTAACGGCATAACGCCTTCTAATTCATCATGCATAACATCAGGACGAAGCGAAGTAATGGGATGAAAACCAGGTAATCCAATAAGGCAAGAAACATGTTTTATTCCACAATTTTTAGAATCTCCAGGAAAAAGGGTTATATGTTTTAAGTGTTGATCGTAATTTTTCACTGTGCGAATAACTACTTTTCCACTTTCAATGTTCACAGATAATTTTACAATTTGTTTTATTCCTCCAAAGGTCAAGTGAAGCCCATCCGGTAAAAGATGAGCTTTACTTATTTCTAGATCCAACAAATCAAAAATTAATTTGTTAGATACATTTGTCTTTAGTTTCTCCAGTTTTGTATTAAAAACCTTTTTAATGTTTCTGCCGCCGTTATCATCATTCTGATAATAACATTCTCCAAGTTACGCCCCGCAGAAGACTATCTTCCATTAGCAACATCTAGAACGCAACAAAAGTCGAAAAATGAGACAGCATTGGTCGAGTAGAGCAGCATTCTCATAAATGAATCTTTTTCGGAACGTGAAATGACAAAACTTCAACTGGAACAAATAAATTAGATTACGAGACACATTTGACCAATGAATCTCAAAACACTATGCGCCGATAAGCGTATTTTCTTCTAACGGTCGTATAGCCTAAAAAGGCTAATCGGCAAAGCCGAAGGTCAAACAGGAAGACCAAACAAACTAATTACAGTTCATAGTCCGAAACTCCTCTTCTACTTCTTAGTTTTCTCTGTAGCATAAATGAAAACAAACAGACAAAACGACGATAGAATAGAATCTGAAAGAAAAATAATCATCCGAAAATCAATGGTTTGACAGAGAAGATTTCAACAAAAGCTAAGACCGATCATACAGCTCGCAAAAAAACTGTTTGTTTGCTTATTGTTTTAAGTTTGTAGAAGGCGGTCATTATTACCACTTGATCGCAATCATTGTCTCTCCTCAATTTGCGCCGATATACACATTTTCATAAATAAATATTTATGTTTCATGTTACCATGGTGTACCTTTCGCAGCAAAACGTCCGAACCTGTCATTCCAAAAATCCACATAGCGAGATATTGCTCTGAACGTATGAGGGTATAGAGCAGATGTTGCCCTACAATCTGACACACGTCCCACACCTCCATCTATCATGGTTCAGATGCTAGAGGCAATCTCAGAGGATCTACCTATCGGCCAAAGCTGAGTTCTAGGAGTCTCACAAACAGGTGGTACATAGGCTATCGGACACGCTGACGATGGCAATGTTTGTTTTATTATTCAGGTTAAGGACATTGTAAAAGACGAATGAAAACGTTCAACCCAAGCATGTCAATCTTATCTATAAAAAGAATACAACTTCAACATGGATCAATCCCAAAAAGAAGTTTAATTTTGAGAGATAAAAATATATATATTTTTTCCACAACATTTTAAAACGAGAGAGAGACAGAGAGACGTAAGTGAGGACAATATGCTAAAATACTTTCAGGTAGAATAAACATCGTTTCTTTTTCTGTGTCATATATATTTTTTATGATGATTAGAGAGAAGTTCACGGTCTCAACTACAATGCCCACAACAACAACCACAACAAGCACAGTTTCAAATTCCTTTCCAACAACAATAATATCAACAGGAATTTCCTCAACTTGTCCAATCACAATATGGACAGCAGGTCTACAATCCATACATGTAAGTAATAATAATTCTCTATCAATTAATTATCCACCAACCTGCAATCTGAGGTTGAGACGCTGTTCACAAATTTAAAATGATGATTATTATAATTATTACGATAATAGTCGCGATTATTATTCATACCGGCATTATCAACGCCCTCGACGTCCGTTTTATAATAATAATAATTATAATAATACTAATTATTATAATAACCGCTCTTATCGCTCATATCGTAATCAGAATTATTCAAATTACAGTCAACATCATCAACAACAAACTAATATTGCCCCTATAATCGATCAAAATACAAATTCAAAAAACCGGTATCCTCTATTTCAAGAACCAGTACGGTTTCAACTACAATCCCCACAACAACAACCACAGTTTCAAATTCCTTTCCAACAACAACAATATCAACAGGAATTTCCTCATCTTGTGCAACCACAATATGGACAACAGGTCTACAACCCATACATGTAAGTAATAATAATAATTCTCTATCAATTAATTATCCACCATTTGATTCTATCACACCAGTTTATAATTCATCCTCAATTTGAAACAAACCATTACAGTACGATCAGCGTTTGCCCGAATTAGAGCCTTTTCATTTAACCGATACCATTTATACAATTGGTAATGTTAAATTAACACAATCCGAAATTCATCTTTTATCAAAAGGTCTAAAATTTATTCCGAATCGACCATTTCATATAACGGATTACTTTCGACAACGTGTTAATAAAATGTTAAGTTTACCACATTACAATCATATCAATATTGATCGGTTTCTTCTATCGGCTTATTCACATCGTACTTCATTCATCCCAAATCTTGCTCGTGATGAACAACTGGCATTACAATTATTAAAAAGTCGTGATGACATTATAATTCGTCCAGCAGATAAGAATGTTGGTATTGTTGTCTTAGAATCAAAAGTGTATGAATCAAAAATTTTAGAACAACTAAACGATAGGAAATTTTACGAAAAACTTGACTATAATCCAACACATCAAACATTTCAACGTATTAAATTAGACTTAGAACTACTGTTTAGAAACAAATCAATTACTTTTAACACCTTAAAACGTATTACCCCAAAAAAATCAACATGCGGTGCTTTCTATATTTTACCAAAAGTACATAAATTAAAATGCCCCGGTCGTCCAATCGTTTCAGGAATTGAACATCTTACAGCGGATATTTCAAAATATTTAGAACGACAACTAACACCATGTGTATCATTATTGAAACAAATAGCATTGGATTACTATAATGCTGATAACTCTATTATACTAAAAGATACAAATCACCTTTTACTTCTTTACTTTCAAAGGACATTATTTCAAACAAACGAAAGGTACTGCTATGGGAACGGCTTTTGCCCCTCCCTACGCAAATATATATGTTTTTCGTAAAGAAATTTTAGCATTACGTGAATTTCT